TCATATCGGTTGACATCCTAATTACCCTCAGAGGAGTGGAAGCCAAGGCATTGAGTAAAGCGAGTCGGTCTTAAATGATAGAATTCATGAGAGGTCCATGCAACTTAACTTGAAACTCATACTCTACAAAGATTCCAATCATCTTCACCGACGGGTATAGATGAGATTCACAATTAAGAGGCAAAGCTACAGGCTTCTATGCGGCGGTATGCTTGATGACAACTGGGTAGGAGTAATTCACCTAATAGTATGTGATGTGTTGTTCTAACTTTTTTTCTTTACTACACAAACCTAAAATTTTGATGTGATTAGTGCTCTAATAATAATGGGTTGAGCCAATGGGGATGAGAACACCTAATACTCCCATTGTAAATTACTCTACAAGTATAGGGTAACATTCTGTTGAAAATTAAACTTGATTAATTGGGCCTTTAATTGTGTGGGCTTTCTAATTGAGCCCATAGTCTAGAAAAGTCTTTAGAAAACTCTAGAATTCTACTTTATGGTGAATGTTTTAGAGGATTCTAGAAATATATTCTAAAAAAGAGTTGTTTAGAGTATTCTAGAATATGCAATTAATGACTTTTGTAAAAGAAGATAGGAGAATAATCTAGAGAGTCAATATTAGCCATTGGATTGAAATGTGTTGGCACAATCCTAAGGGGGAAGTCACTAGTATAAATAGGTGTGAAGTCTTTGTGTTTATGTAAGAAGTAGAATCAAGAGTTCAAGAGTGAAATAAAAGTGAGTTTTATAAGTGTTCCTCTTCTCTTCTAAAATTCTTCCTCTTCTTATAGCCTCTTATTTTCCAACACATTCTTATATCCTAATAGTTATGGGAGAGTCATAGGAGCAATTCACACTCTTCATGATTCATCAATTCTCTAAAAAACACAATTACGCAGGTCTTGCACACATGAAATCAAATATCAATTATCCTATCTCAGCTTTGAAGCTAGCTTCCTCATTGCATTTATACATGTATTATGGCTAGAATCTGACACATTCCCTCTCCAAACTGGCCAATCTTCTTAAGCCTTGCAAATCAATCTACATATCTGTACGTTTTTGTGATTGCTTGGACAAGAGGAATTCTATTACCAGATAAGGATAACTCTTTTACATCGCACCATAACTGCTATAGATGCCCATATAACTTCTGCCAACGGGCTCATTTAATAACTGATACAACTGCTGTTAATCCTCTGTGAATTCCTGCAACAGCTGTATTATAACTGTAGGCAACATTGATCAATAGGAATTTGGTTGCAACGGCAGTTTATTCATCCAACAGAAGCAATCAATTCTTTGTTTGTCTGCAGCTTTAGTTCATATAAATGCAGCCACCAATTCGACTGCAGTTTATATATAACATATATTTGCATATAGCTGCAGCTATCGATTCAAATAAATTTGGGTACCAATTCAACTGCAGCATTCACATATAACATTTATGAGAATAGTATCTTCAAGCTTCAAGCTGCAGTTCAATGTGTAACAGTAGTTCGACAAAATATATAACTGCAGACGACAAAATGTGAAAACAAGCTGAATTGTTACGAATAAACTGTTTCTAACAGAGGTTAAAACTGCAGTTTATATATAACAGTAAAGCTTCAAATATACTTCAAGTGTTGATGGGATCATCTCCTCGAGACCTTCAGTTCAACTGGAAGCTCATTGAAATCGGAGCTCAAATGTTCAAAAAATTCCAATTCCAATTAAGTAAATTTTATGTAGATGTATCAAACTTGTTTCAATAGATTGTTTGGATTTTAATTGTAATATGCAATGCATAAATAACTCCATCAGCTTCAATTTTGCAAGTCCACCATAATTGTTGGTCAAAACAGGATGGAAAAACATAGATGATACAATAGATTGATCTATCATAAAGCAATTAAATCAGGCTTCATAAGAATTCCAGCGAACTGTGACTGTTAGCACTTTAGTACCACCAAATGTGAGTTGTGGAGTCCAAGGCACACCAAATAAATCAATCCCTGTCGTCAAGAAAAGGAATGAGGGAAACCTGCTCATAGATCATGGAGAGATATTACGTACGGAGTCCGGACAGAAGTTGCGTCCGATTTTTATGAGTGTGCGTAGAGAAAAACAAAATAAAAATATAGTGGTGAACACTAACTGTGCTTTACTGCGCACACTCACAAAAACTGTACTACAGGAAAATGTCCTATTACCGTCGGATTTTTTCGGCGGACCTCTGGGCGCCGGAAATGGCGACGCTGTTACCGGCGGAACCTGTGCGACGGAAACTTTACGGCGGTCGTTTCAGTGGCTAACCCGCCGCAAACTTATCGACGGAGAATTCATGGGAATTGACCGGCGCATGGTCCGCCGGTAATTACCGGCGGGGGTACCGGAGTTTTTAGCGTCGTCTTAACTTAAACACGACGAAGTTAAACGGGCGGATTTAATGAATTGTGTTGATGAAAATTGTGTTGTTTATATGTGTTCTTTTATGCATGTTGTTTTTGTGGAAATCAATTTTTAAACAAAGGAAGGTATTTTTTTCTTTCAGCTCCAGGTTTCCGGCGGATATTCCGCCGGCCACTCTGTCGGTACGACGATATGTAGTTTCCGGCGGATATTTTTCGACGGTTACGAATCGTCTTATCAATGACAGAAGATCTGCCGGTAAGTCCGACAGAACGTACGATGGAAAACGAAAATTATGCGACAGCGAGATTTACCTATTTTTCGCCGGAAACATGTTTCCTGCGCAAATTGTGCGCCAGCAAAAATTTCCGACTCGTGATAATCCGGCGGAGGGTTTTTCACTGGAAATCCGCCGGAAAGCAACAATTTCCGGCGCATTTTCGTTCATACCGACGGATTTGGTCCGCCGGTATAAGCTTGTTTTCCTGTAGTGTGGACGGTTCTCCGGTCCGGATTCGCACATAATAATCTCTCCAGATCCTGGATTTAAATAGAGACTATGTTGTAAATTGACTTTTTATTTTATAAACTAGCTAGTTATATTTCTATTATTTTATTTAAATTTATATTTGCACCAATAGCATATAATTCAAGTAATAAGTAAATAATTTAAATATTTATTACATCATCAAGGTTAAGTGTAAATTCCAATTGAACATTTCCGTCCTTAATTTCAACGAGAGGTCTAATTTTCAAAATGGTACTGCAAAGATGAGAGAAAGATGGCTTTCGCCTGTCGGACAAGAGATGCATGGAGATGAACATCATGAAGTTAATGTTAGGCCTTCTTTAGAATGATATTGATGTAATTGTCCTACTAGTTAGATATGTGGTCAACATATGGAAAGTAAATTAATGGGCATGATATTAATTAATGTAATTATCATACTCATAAGAGAGATGACTGTTTCATATGAATTTGCCAATTCAATCTTTCCTCAGAAATAAATTTCTTGTCTCTTTAGTTACTTGGTTATGCACATGAAACCAATTATAAACATTCTGTTTTGGTGGTAGACAAAGCTATCAATTTGACTTTTGATGAAAATAGAATTGGTTTTTTAGCTTTCATTATGCATGAATGAATCAAAATCGTCAAGCTAGTTAATGTATCCATACTCTCTCTCTCTCTCTCTCTCTGTTAATATGTACAGTATATGTATATTTGTAAATATATGTATGTATGTATTTATGTATATATATGTACGTATGTATACATATATCATATTCTCTCTCATATATGTATGCATGTATGCATATATATATGTTTATGCATATTTGTATGTATGCACAAATGCATATATGTATATGTATGTATGTATGTATATATGTTTGTAAACATACTAAAATGAATATTCATGTATAAATGCACTTTATGCACTTGTCTAAGAACTTGTATGAAAAGATTAAAAAATGAATTGAAATTATATGTTTAATCAAATTAGAAGCATGCATTTATTATCTATATGAAATAGTTTTCAACCCTATCATACTCAGAGAGCCAGAGTTGGGCAACCCTCTACTTAGTGACAAATGGAAGAAATGGGATTCAATCAATACAACAACGAAAGGGATCAAGCCAACTTGTTAGAAAATCAGATTAATTTTTTTATTAGGGTTGATTTAAAATTAAAATCAACTTGTTGATTAGGAGTAAAATTCAAATTGAATCCAATTGAACTAGCTTTTGGCATAGTTTTGAATTGCATATATACATCATGGAAAAGATTAAGTTAAATAAACTATCAAATACATATATTTACGCACTTTATTTATTCTTTAGTTTTCTTTATATATTTAAAATTACAAAGAAGAAAGTGACTCAAAGATTGTCTTGGAAGAAGAAGTAATGATCAATCCAAGACAAAGAAGATGCAAATTATTCTATGTGGATGCCGAACGCCATCCAGAGACCAATCAGAATGCGCTACATCACCCCTGCTCGGTATCACGGCTCGGTACCACGCTCAGTATCATGCTCGGTACTGCTGACATGACGTATTCTGGTTGGTCTCCGGGTGGTGAACTGCGTTCGGCGTCCGTACAAAGCATATAAGTCGAACCACATTTCTTTTGGTTTCTTCTAATTGCAATCTCTCCTAGTTTTTCACATACTTTTCTTAAACCAAGCAAAACAAATTAAAAAACTCTTATCCTTTCTCCTTCATTCTAATGCATGAATCCAAAAAAGTTGTGGGTGTATCTCTGCCAGCTATAGTGTAATTCACATAAACTTATCCTTAACATATTCTATAGCAATAGTCCAAATATGCTTCATCATTTTGATATCTATAAATATAATAAATTCTACAGTAATTCACAACGTCAATAATCCTTCAATTTTAAAATTACAAAAACAAAAAAATCATACAAATCTCTTAAATGCAAGCTAAGCCAAGACTTCCATATGCACTACAAACATTCATTACCCATTCCTCATAAAAACCAAAAGCTGCAAGAATCTAATATTCACAAAACATCTACTATAAAGTCATGAGAGTTACAAGTCATATATCATGCACGCATAGAGAGTAACAACCATGGTACAAAAGAAGAGAATCTGCATTATTGGCGCTGGCATAAGCGGCTTGGCAACATGCAAACATTTGGTGGAGAAAGGATTCCGACCGGTGGTCTTCGAAGCTGATCAAACTATCGGTGGTGTATGGAAAAGCACACTGGCGTCGACACGCCTACAAACATCAAAATGGGATTATCAATTCTCTGACTTCCCGTGGCCGGAGAAGGTAGTGGAGATATGTCCTGATAATATCCAGGTCATGGCATATTTAGAATCTTATGCTCAACAATTCAAGCTTATAAAACATGTGAGGTTTGGAGAAAAGGTGATGGGGATAGAGTATGTTGGTGTGGGAGAGGAGGATATTGAGGCATGGGATTTGTGGGGCGGTTCCGGCGAGGCATTTGGTGGTAGTCAGCGAGGGGTGTGGCATATCAAGGTGGAGAGTGTGAAAGATGGAACTATAGAGGTAATTTATATTATTTCTAAGATAGTTACCTTGTTTTATTTAATTGCATTCAAATTTATTTTTGCTGCTAAGATAGAAATTATATTATCAATTATTTTTAAGAAATATATATGTTTTTAAATCGTTTGTTTTATATTTTTAATTTTATAAGCCATCAGGAACATATGGGCCAATTATCTTCAATTTTTGTCTTAAAAACTCCATTTTATGTGGCATTTTTTTATGTATAACGTTTTGGTAAACTCAGTATGCCATTGAATAAGACATAAGTGAATACAAATGTATATAAAAATGTTATATATAAAATGTCTTAATTATATTTTCATGTTAGAATGTTACAAAAAATAAGGTCAATCTAAGTTTCTTATTCAACCTACCATTGTAGATTCATGTCATGGATTTTGTTATCCTTTGTATTGGAAGATTTAGCGGACTTCCAAATATCCCAACATTTTCCGAAGAGAAAGGTCCTGAGGTCTTTGATGGCAAAGTGATTCATTCAATGGATTATAGTAATATGGATAGCTCAACGGCTGCTCAATTGATCAAAGGGAAACGAGTCACCGTTGTTGGATTTCTTAAATCAGCATTAGATTTCGCTGTAGAATGTTCTAATGTTAATGGTAATTAGTTCACATTTCATTCCATATGATAAGTTATTATTATTAGTTGAAAACTGAGATACATATTTTTTATGTGTTCCAACATAATATTTTGCTTTATATTGCTTCAATTTGATCCAAAAGTAACTCATCTTGATTTATGTTTATTAAAAACATTCATTTTTATTTTTGCTTGTAATAATCTTTTATAAAGCTACTTTCAAAAAAAAAATTATAAGTTGGATGTAAAATGTCAAAAATCCTCACAAACATTCACTCTTTCTATTAATTTCAAGATTTAGGTTTTGTTTGGAACAATTTTTCTAATATTTTCTAATGCAACTTTTTAGTACAAAAATTTCAAAAAATTTATACTAAAAAGTTGTTTTAGAAAGTAATAAGAAAATTATTAATGTTGAAACCTTAATGATGCAGATCAAATTCTCTTGATGATATAAAATAAAATGAAGCGTTTATAAAAAATTAGACTAAAAAGAAATATTTTTTATATTTTGATATGAACAATCTTCCTTGTAATTAATATTTTTTGATATATTTTGTTTAATTATCAACAGGATCAAAGTATCCATGTACGATGATAATTCGAACAAAGCGATGGAACATACCAAGCTTTGAGGTTTGGGGTTTTCCTCTCAAGTACTTATTCTTCAATCGTTTTGCTGAGCTGCTCTTTCACAAGCCTGGGGAAGGACTCATCCTCAGTCTGCTAGCCTTCTTGCTTTCACCTTTGGTAAGCCGTAAGCATATATAATTATCAAATCATTTTGGTTTAGTTTGGGATGACTTTCTTACTGCTAAAGCAGCTTTCTAGTCTGCTAGCCATCTTAGGCCTCGTTTGGGTTGGCTTTCTTCTTGCTTCTTAAAGCGGCTTTGTAGTACAAAAAGTTTAATTTTTATACTAGAAAGCCGCTTTAAGAAGCATGAAAAAAGCCGTCCCAAACGAAGCCTTAAAGCAGCTTCTTAAACCTTCTTAAAGCTGCTTTAAGAAATAGTAAAAAAATTGTACCAAATAAAATCTTAAGAGAACAAATACGTACATGTATAATTTATTGATCAATTAGCTTTTTTTTCTATCAATCTTTTAGGTGTGGACTTTCTCGAAAATTGCTGAGAGTTATTTTTTGAAAATAATTCCAATGAAAAAGCATGGAATGGTGCCTGAGCACAGTTTCTTTCAGGCAATTTCCTCTTGTCTTTTATGCGTATTACCTGATAATTTCTACAATAAAGTGGAAGAAGGAAGCATTGTGCTTAAGCCTTCTAAGACATTCAGCTTTTGCAAACATGGCGTCGAAGTTGAAGGGGAAAGACAATCAATTGATTCAGACTTGGTGATCTTTGCTACTGGATTCAAAGGTGATCAGAAGCTTAGAAACATATTTGTGTCTTCAAAGTTTCAAGAGATTGTCGCAGGAAGAAAAGATAATGTAGTTCCTCTCTATAGGTACTGATAAGTATTTAACATGGTAGCTTGTTAGAGAAATTTTTTACAAGATTATAAGTTTACAATATATTTTACATATCATAAAATAAGAGTTTGAGTTAAATATTTTACCTACAGGGAATGTATACATCCACAGATACCACAAATGGCAATCATTGGCTTTGCTGAGAGTATTTCAAACCTGTATACATCAGAGATAAGAGCGAGGTGGCTATCACACTTCCTCCATGGAAAGTTCAAGCTGCCAAGCAAAAGATCCATGGAGAAGAATGTGATGGAGTGGGAGAAGCATGTGAAGAAATATTCAGGAAGCAGATATAGAGGATCTTGTATCTCTACTCTTCATATTTGGAATAATGATCAGTTGTGTAAAGATATGGGCTGCAATCCAAGGAGGAAGAAAGGCTTTCTTAAAGACTGGTTTTTACCTTACTCTCCTGCAGATTATGCTGAGCTTGATTGAGTTGAAGGATAAATAAACAACGGTGTAATTGTGAAGTTGATTATTGCAGTTATGTTTTAATTGATTGAAGTCATAGAAAAGGTAAATTGTTTTAGTTTCTTATTTGTTTAAATGACATTTGGAAAAGATGAATTTGATCTTATGAAATATGTAGTTGTTAGCATGTTGGTAGGATCAATTTAAACATATCAATTTAGACTTTGTTTGGAACGGCTTTCTTACTGCTTCTTAAAGCAACATTTTAATACAAAAATTTAAATTTTTGCACTAAAAAATTGCTTCATGAAGTAAATGTAGCATTCAAAAAATAGTAGAAAAGGAACAATCCATAGCAATCGAAGACCAATTCATCATAAAAGTGCTCATTATTACTCAATTCATTCTAACAAATTAAACTGGACATACATGCTTTTTTGAACCTCCTAAACAGTTGCATTTTATGAATCATATGCATTCAAGAGGTAGTGAACCTTATTGCAGTTGATTGCACCAATTTGCACATGAAAAGTTTCAACCTTCCAGCACTAAGGTGCCTACGACTTCATCATTTACTATATTTAATGTTCATATCTATAATTTATGATAAAAAAAAAACATTATCAAACGCATGCAACCACCATCACTTGCACCTACTAAGTTGTTGCTCATAACCCATATTAACTAGAGTCAAGGCAAGTTAGGAGAGTTGACCTTAAGGGTGTTCAATTTGTTGTAAATAAAAGAGACACAACATAAATCCATACACAAAATAATGGCTTAACAGATCTGAAAATAATAGATCTGAAATAAATTGATGTAGAAATTAAGCAAAATCTTGCTTGTGAATGATGGGATAATATAAATTAGTTAAGATGGCAACTATAGCATAATAACTTTCATGCAATAGTATGAAGTACTGGATAAAAGATTACAAAATTTTGACTATCAAGCAATTAATAAGGCCGCATTTGGTAGCATTAATAAGCCTAAAAATCAAACTCATTTTTTGAATTCATATAAAGAAGTAATACAAGGCAAATTGATTTGGACTTTGTTGGCAAACAAATATCCCACTTGAGAACTCAAGAAATTGCAACAACATCAACTCTCAATTCTCCATTCCCTCCAACATCAACTAATCTCATAGAAGTGACAAAGTTACTCCATCTGCTTGTGAGCAAATGCCTTCGAGGGTTGTCCTGCGATCAGAAAATAATGAGAAACAAGGAAAATACACTCTTCATCTCATTTGAATGCATGATCTAATTGAAATAAAGAAGCATCATAAATCTTAATTAAAGAGTGAATAGAACAAGAAAACAATGAAAAAATGTTGATTGGCGCTTTTAAGAACTATAAGGTTCCAAAGTTTGTAATGTATCGGGTTGGCGTGATTGATGCTTTGAAAAACTACATCATACGGCAAGAGCTTTTTTAAAAATCTATAGGTGTTATGCGGTTGAGAAAGGCGCGAACATAAACTAATAAGAACTTGATAAAACACAATCAAATTGAGGTACATAAAACTCAACCATAGATAGTTGGAAAACATTACTACATAAACAAACTAAGCACTTATCATAGATATTTCATTTTTTTTACACCTTTGTACATGATTTCCACAATGCCTTATGGTTATATGCTTAAGAACGTCAAGGTAAATTCTAATATCAATTTTCAATGCAAATATTGTTTCAAATTCTCAAAATGAGAAAATAAAATATTCTTTCATCTTAGATGCATTTCTTGCTAGCAATATGAAAATTAAAAGACTTCTAAAAAAAGAAATTACATGGAGAACATGAAAGGAAAACCTTCATTAGTATTATTCTTTTTAAAGTTAAAACTAAAAGGAATAAAACAATTATTTAAGTTTGATCAATGCACTAGATATCACATTTTAGCTTGAATTTCAAAATTGTCAACGCATGCACTAATGCATTATATTGCTACCAAAAACAAGCATGACAGGGATAGTGATATAATCATAGCAGATTACTCATTTAAGTTTAGGTATAACACGACAACAAAGTTTTGAGGCTCGGTCATCCATTTCAACAAAAACATAAATAACATTACAACTTCAAGAAATTTTGTTTAGATAAATCAACAAGAAACATGTTAAGAACATTAAAATACCTATATCATAGACATGGATGATGAAACTTAAATACCAAAATACAATGATATACAAATTGATAAGGTCCTACATACTATACTAAAACAAATCCTGATCCCCTCGTACCTCTGGATAGTGAAATCCGCACTCGCACTAAAATCAGTGGAATCTTCGTGGAAGCAGCGGTCAAGAACGTAGTGGCCGTGCATGAACTCACCCTTGAGTACATTCTCTTAGAAAGAAAAAAAAAACCGAGAACTATCATCCCAAGGAATTTGAGCTTGCAAATCATCCACGATTTTGATAGGACATACTTGTAGAACTCATGTGAACCCTAAGAATGCGAATATAGCGACTTTCCACCACACAATCTCCCACAAAACATAAATAACAACAAGAATCATGTAGTAGTGGAGAAGAAAATAGCAAGATATAAGTGATCCTCTATTCGAGAATATGATCAATTTTTTCAAAACTCTCTAGATGTCGCTAGAGCCCATAAACATCAAAAGCACACAAAAATCAACCACAAAAGTGTCATAACCCTAATACAAACTTCTACTTAAAGCAAACATAAGGATAATGCAAAAGGACAAAACATCCCTCATACTAACTCCCTTAGATAGTGGACCCCACCCCAAGGGGGGCTGGATTTGAAGCCTGTGGACCAGCAGGCTTGCGCCTATTATATTGCCTGAGCCAGCTGATAGGTTGGGCCGGATGGACCAGTCTCTGTTTATCAAATTTCCATTTGATAAGCCTAATTTAAAAGATAAGGCACATCAGGAATAGCTGGTTCATCACCCTCACGCACGTAGAACTGTTATTTGCGATTGAGAACAACGGTAGCAACATGGAGTCTTGTCGAATGGACCCAGAGGAAGAATATAACACAAGGAAGATAGAAACAAGAAGAGCAGGAGTAAAATTAGTGTTTAGGGCATGACTGATTGGAGTAATAGGAGTGTTTTTAGCAACAATAATAAATGTTGTCTATACCTCTTTTTAGCGGTAGTTTACAAACCGCCACAAACAATTATTGTAAAAACCTAAATTTTGATAGTGCATATCAATGCTACCCAAATTAGACATGAGCATTCATGCAAGCTAGATATGTCATTGGTGCCATTACTATTCCACACTCTTGTTAACACATGCAAGAACAATCTTAGAGGCCCTTGGTGAGAATTATCTTCATCCAAATTACTTAGGAAATAAATTTATACTAATCTCTCTCAACTACTTGATTGTATAAGGTTTTGTGAGTCATATTCCAAAAGCTAATTGGATTGTTCTTTTAAATTTGAATATTATATATATGATTATCAAAATAAATTATATCAAATATATATTTAAATGATAACTATATTTCAAAATATTCAATTTTCTAATGTTATTCTTTCATGAAAAAAATAGAATTCATCAACAATCTAAATCAAAGATATTAAGCATAACTACAAGAAAGAATAGTTGTCACAACACTTAAATTTGACCTTTGTGGGCAAACATAAAAACCTTGCAGCAGTTCTAAAATCATCATAGTTAACGCTCACTGCAAACACATTTTACAACGATTTTAATTAATGCTTATATCATATGATTTTAATACTAAATAAAAAATAATTTATGAAAAAAAAAACTACATTTTTCATTATTTTTTGCCTTTATGAAAATTTTAAAGTCAAAAGCTTTTTATAATTAGAATTTATATAATAATTGATAAAATCTTTAAAATTATCATTAACTTACTCCCTTAATAAAACTACACTGAAACCTAAAATGTGTACATATAAGTTAAATTCATTTATAAAAAAAAGGTTTAATAATATCAGAAGAAAAAACAATATTAATAATTAAAATTAATTTCTATATGCCTAAAAATCATTTATATTATTTTATTTCTGCATGTCCCATCCATTCCTTTAAGTTTTCTGATAATATCATTAGCTTTTATTCCTTTAAGCCCATTGAGTAGCCATTCAATCTAAACAACATTCATATCCTTATATGAAGGAGACATTACTGAAGCTGATAATCAACATTGATATCATTATTGGTTCCTTGCAATGATCTTAGAGAGATATTATCATTTCTTTTTAGACCTAAGACCAATATAATCATTTGGTCCATAAGGCATGAATAATTCAGAGAAGAACCCTTTTTTTCTCTTAGGATTGTAACCCATATCTTTACAGAGTTGATCATTATACCATATATGTATGATCCCTATGCTAGATCTCCTATAATACTCATGACTGTATTCCTTCATGTATTTATCCCATTTTTTCATGTCTTCTTCCATCAATTTTATGCTCGGGAGATGAAATCCTCCATCAAGAAGATGTGTTAGCCACATTGCTCTGATCTCTGAAGTATATAAATTTGACAAGCTCTCTGAGTATCCAATTATTGCCATTTGTGGAATCCTTGGATTTATGCATTCTCTGTAATACATGTACAGATAAAGTTAAACTTTGTTCAATCATGTTTGGATTGATAATAACCTGATTATATTTATATATTAATCAAAGTAGCTAGCATATGTACCTATAAAGTGGAACTGTATTTTCCAATGAGCCTGTCACAATCTTCTTAAGTGATGGAGATTCAAAGATGTTTCGAAGCTTCTCATCCCCCTTAAAGCCAGTAGCAAATATCACTAGATCAGCTTTTATGGGCATAGATTCACCTTCCAGGATTATGCCATCCTTGCAGAACTCAAAGCTTTTTGAATTTTTGAGAATAATGCTCTCATTTTTCACTCTCTCATAGAAATTTTCAGGTAGTAAAGCAAATAAGGAGGAACTCATAGCTTGAAAGAAGCTGTGGTCCGGAACCATTCCATACTTCTTTATTGGGGTGATTTTCTTGATGTAGCTCTCAACAAACTTAGATATAACCCATCTCTACATTGAAAAATACCAATATGATTGTGAGATATATTTATACATGTAGTTTGTAGCTACTAAAGTATGTGGAAAAAGCATTTACTAAAGGAGAAAGTAGTGTTGCCAAGAGGCTTAGCATGATTCCTTCTCCTGGCTTATGAAAGAGTAGCTCTGAGAAGCGATTAAAGTAATAGTAACCGAAGGAGACGCCCCAGGCTGAGAAATCTGGTAAGTTCCATCGTTTAGTTCGAACAATCATCGTGCAAGGAAGCTCCACACCTATATATGAAAATTTAAGAAAAATGAGAATAAAGCCTATGAGAAATTATTTTGTGTGAACAAAATAGCTCGAAAGCTTCATTTGGGACAACATTCTTATTCCTTTTTAAAGTAGCATTTTAATATAAAAATTTTGAACTAAAAAACTATGTACAAAAACCTGTTTTAGAAAAAAAGTAAGAAATCTGTCATGCAAAGAATCAAAGTTTATAGCTGTATGCTTGATTTGGTGTACAATAATATATGTTGCTTTGTGCTCACTATATATGCCATTTGATTGAAATATATTGTAAGAATACAACTACGTACTCCTGTTATAGCACGCACATATATGCATTTAATAATTTCTAAAAATACACAGTACTTGATGTTCAATTATATATATGGAAGAATGAGTAGGTGATGACACATGATTGTATTCTAACCATCATAATAATAGCAATAAGGATAATGATCATACCATTGATATCAGCACATTCTGCAGCAACATCAAGAGCTGATTTAAGAAAACCGATGACAATGATTCGCTTCCCTTTCACAAATTCAGCTGCAACACTGCTTCCCATTTTGGCTAAGTCCATGGAGTGAATTACCTTACCATTAAAGGCCTCAGGACCTTTACTCTCAGAGAAGCTAGGTATTTTTGGGAGTCCACTAAATCTTCCTAAGCAAAGGACCACAAAGTCCATAACATGCTCCTATGATAGGGAAGGTATTGTTAGTTTACAGTAGTATAAATATCAAGATTATTTATTTTATTATATTATTATTATGTTAGTAAGAATTAAATTAAGAGAAACAAATTATTTTGCACTTCAATTCATGCAATCATTAATGAAAAATATGTTAGATCAATTAAGAGATTAAAAGAATAAAAATATCACGAAAATTAAAGTGATCAAATCATTGATGATCACATAAACAAAAGAAATTAATGATGCAAAATCTCTATTGTAGATTTTTTTAATATTTATATAACTATAATTTTTCTTTTCATAATCATCTAATTGCAAAAAAAACTTTTTTAAAACAAATATTTAAAATTAATTTTCAAAAGAGTTTTAATTTCTTTCTGAAAAAAATAAGAATTCTCATTTTAAAATAAGCTAATTGTGACATTTACACAAAATAGGACAAATCTATACATCACATATGCAAGACTTGAACCCAAAACCTCTTGGTTGATCGAGAAAACTTCCAACTAAGAGTTGAGCCCTAATCTTTTTTTGGTTTTGTTTTTGGAACATTTAGACCATTTAAGAAACTCACACAGACATCAAAGCTTTGTTTTCCTTTGTGTCACATTTGACGTTGAAATAAATAAATAAATATCTTATCAAATTATTTTTTAAAATTATCAATTAAATTTTAAATTAATCAATCATAGCGTGAGCAGAATTTACTTTTAAATTGTTCGTTTCTCGTAAATTATTTAGAATTTATTAATGATGAATTTTATATAAATATTAATTATTTATTTATATATTACATTTATTTTAAAATATATTTAATATTTTAAATTCATTGAAAAATATTTTTATATAAATAAGCAAATAATTATCAAAATTTATCAAAATCTAATAGTTTTCGTGTCAAATAATTTCCAAATTTTAACACATCAAAAATTACTAAATCTTGATTAACATGAGAAGTTTAATTAGAATATATACAAAAAATTAAAAATATTTTTATTATTCATCTCAAAATAAATTACAAATTTTTAAATTCATAGTTGCTAAGCTTGGATCAATATATTCTAAAATAAAAATTTTTACTGCCCAATTTAATAAAGATTCATAATATACTATAAAAATTATAATCATAACAAAAATTTTTAATCTACTTTGAGATACGTGCAAAAGTAAATCAAAGAATTTTAAGATTTATTTTAGTCTTTTAGCCGCTTTTTAATATTATAATTTTTTGTCCTTTACTAAATCCTACTTTGAGTTAAAATTACCTCCTTAGCCCCATCTTCCTTCTCCACGGTGACATGCCAGACTCCACGCCCAGCTCCGGCGAACCCATCACCAGTTCCACCCCACAAATCCCAGGCCTCCATCTCCTCCTGGTCCGGTCCAACATACTCCAAACCCACCACCTTCTCCCCAAACCTCACATGCCTTATAACGTCAAACCGGCGAGCATAAGCTTCCAAATACTCCATCACTTGCTTGTGGTTGGGCGCCCCGGTCACCGATTCCGGCCACGGGAAGTCGGTGAACTGGTAAAGTTCAGCAGGGGTCTGTAACCGGGTCGAACCGAGTGGGCTCGCCCACACTCCACCGATGGACCGGCCGGCCTCGAAGACCACCGGCTGAAAACCTTTTTGGAGAAGGTACTTGCATGTGACTAGACCGCTAATACCTGCACCCACAACACCCACCTGCTTCGACTCCATTAGGTTAGTTGATAGGTTTTGTGGGTTTTGTTTAAGCAACCTTTTATAGGGCAAATAAATGCGTTAATTATAAATAATTATAAAGATATGGATGTTTTTTTTTTTATTTTACTTTTGAGCCCATTAAAGAAAAACTATCATAGATTTTGAAGCTAAAATCTCTTAATTTTTAGTCAAAGATTACTCAACAGATCATGATGAGCTGCACAAGACATATATGATAATTTATTATATATTTACATAAGCTAAATAGATTTATGTGTTGTTTGCTTATTTGTTTGTAGTACATTTAAATGTAAAGTAAATCAAATACAAAGTAATTAAGATATGGATTTGAAATTAAGCTTTTAGTTCATTTTTGATGAATTTCAAAATTGTTAAATTTAAATGGATTGCTACATCAAATAATTGTGTGCTAACGACATCCACCACTAACAACCGCTGTGGACCACCACCAGCCCAAGTCCGCTGTAGCCCCACCTTGTTTGTCACCTCCCCCCAATCGCCACCACCAATCGGCGAAGTTTTATACTAAATAAGATTTCGTTTGAGATAGCTTTCTTATTATTTTGATATTTTCTAAAGTAGATTTTTATTACAAAATTTCTAACTCAAAAAAATTTATAAAAAAAGCTGTTTTTAAAAAATAAAAAATAGTCCAAGCTAGTGATCATTCGTTCAATCAAATAGCTCAAAACATCTTCACTGTACTATATCTTATTTTTTGACTTTAGATTTCTCTTTCAGCAAATAAGTAACTTATTACCATAAAACCTTCCCAGGCCATGCAAATTGATGTCTTCGAGCGCTTTTGTAATTTTTTTATTAGCCTCTTTGGTGCGTCCAAAAAATTAAATTAAATAATAAAAAATAAGATAAAAATTTGTTTTATATATAGGCAATTACTGATTATGACCTTTACCTTAATAATAATGGGGCTTAGTATATATATCTCTATGGTGGAAAAGCAGCTATATTTTGAGTTTTTGATGCTTAAAATATGAAACATTTTATTTTAATTTTATTAAAAAATGAATATAAAAGGTTTTTTAATCAATAAAAAATAGGAAGATAAATGATTTGATGGCCCCAAAAAAACAAAAACAAAAATTGATGATCAAATTGCAAAGGAGGGATCACTTAGTGCAATACAAATTAAATTAGAAGAAATTTAAGTTCTTAATAATAATTTTGATCCCACTGTTCCTGATAAGATTTGTTAATCTTGACTGATTAATTCCCAAAGGTTATGAGAATTTGATTGCCAAACAATTAATGGAAATTAAAAAGCCAATGATTAAATGCAAAATGTATTCAAAGCAATATAAGATGTCTTAGTTTACAAAAGAGCTAAATTTGATGTTGGAGTATTTTTGTATCAAAGTTTGAATAGGAATAAAGGCCATATTTATTTACATTGGTCATAGCAATTTCATAGGAATGTGTACCATTATTCAACAAAAAATAAATGAATAATGAAATATTTAATACGTTAGGTAGAAAAATTTATCATTGTAATATTGAACGAAAATCATTGCGCATAATGTTAAGTTAAGAGTATTTCATATGCTATATGAGAATTTTAGTTGAAATGATTTCACCAATGTGGGTTGCATATTATCAAGGATACTCTTTATGGTAATTAGTAAATGCTATAACACAAAACAGTAGACTTAAATTGTAGAAAATATCCTTCATGGTGGAAGTAAACGTCTTGAGATACATAAATTTTCATATTAGCATGTTACAAAATAATAAGGTAAATCCAAGCTTCTTATTCAACCTACCATTGCAGATTCATGTCATGGATTTTGTTATCCTTTGTATTGGATGATTTAGCGGACTTCTATATATCACAATATTTTCTATATATAGAGAAAGGTCTTGAGGTCTTTGAAAGCAAAGTGATTTATTCAATGAATTATAGTAATATGGATACCTTAGTGGCTGATTAGTTGATGAAAGGAAAATTAGTCACCGACGTTGGATTTCTTAAATCAATATTAGATATTATTGTAGAATGTGCTAATATTAATGATAATTAATTAACAATTCATTTGGTGAGATAATTTATTATTTTTAGTTGAAAGCTTAACTAAGTTTTAGCATATAGTATTTGCGTTATATTGCTATATATTGATGATGATGCAATATTAATTGAGAGCAACATAGGAGGAAAAGAATTCATTTTAATCAAAAAGTCACTCTTTTTTATTCAGTTTATATACAAAAAAAAAATGAAGTTTTTTTTTGTTACATTTCATAATCTTTCACAAAATTATTTTCAAAAATAAATTTTATTATAAGTTGAATGTAAATTTAGACTTCATTTGGAATAGCTAATTTTTTATGCTTTCTAAGATCATCTCTAATTCAAAAACTCATTTCTCACTCCAAAATATAGTGAAACATTTTCAATCGAACTCGATTACTTCCTCTTAATTAAAGGAGTTTTTTAGTACAAAAAATTAATTTGTTAATAACAAAAGATCATTTGCCATGCAAAAGATCCATGAAGAAGAATGTGATGGAGTGGGAGAAGCATGTGAAGAAATATTCAGGCAGCAGATATAGAGGATATTGTATCTCTACTATTCATATTTGGAATAATGATCAGTTGTGTAAAAATATGGGCTGCAATCCAAGGATGAAGAAAGGCTTTCTTAAAGACTGATTTTTACCTTACTCTCCTACAGATTATGCTGAACTTGATTGAGTTGAAGGATAAATAAACAATGGTATAATTGTGAAGTTGATTATTGCATTTATTTTTTAATTGATTGAAGACATAGAAATTAGAAAAGGTAATTTTTTTAGTTTCTTATTTATTTAAACATAAAACAAATAGCATACGTGTGTGTGTGCGTGTGTGTGTATATATATATATTGTGTTATTAATAAAAAAAAAACAACAAACAAACATTCATAACAATAACATATGACTTTCATGTTTTGAGGAAGTATTGGATAAATTTAATAATATTTAGTTCACTACAAATCATTATGAGAAAATATACTGAATGATTTATTAATGTATTTGTTTTAATTAAAAAAAAAAAGGAAGATGCAAGCCCTTGAGGTGGAAAAATTATTAGGTGTGGAGTGCGGACGGGTGAGAACCGTCCGCACAGACACAGTGTACCAAGCGGTACCCAGTGGTACCACTCCGTGCCACTGGGTACCGCTTGGTACACTGTGTCTGTGCGGACGGTTCTCCCCGTCCGCACTCTGTACCTA